CACCTGGTGCATAGGTAACAGCCAGTTTATAGACTGAGACAGACTAGGAAGAAGGAAGAGGCCGTCCACTTCTGAAAGAATTGGCCAGGGAAATGAAACCATAGACGTCATTAAGGCCAACTTTTTGCCCAATGCCAAACATCATTTCATAGAATCCTGGTTAGTTGTTCTTCTAGTCTTTACTTGCAATCACTCTGGTTACCTAGGACCTGTGAAATACTGAAGCCTTCTTATTGCTAGGAAGTTCTTCCTTTGTCAGAATGTAATCTGCTTCCTAATAAGTTCTCACTTAGCTATTCCTTAAGCCACATAAGTGTACTTCATCATAGCCACACCTCACACACATTGGGAAAGAGTGTTCACATCTTCCCATAGACGTCTCATCTCCACGCAGAACATATCCCAGTAATGAAAACTTTCTTTCTATAACATAATTACTAGGCCCTCAGAATTCTGATCACCCTCTGCAACTGCCCTCTAGCTTGTCAGCATTCCTTTCAGACTGGATCCAGAAATGGAATGAAACACTTCACATGTCTGGAATGTCACACAAAACAGTAAGACTGTTGTGTCCTCAGATATAGACACTTGGCAAGTATCTTCAACAAATATTAATTGAATGCTACCTCTTGCCTATTGTACACTTAGATAATTGATTTAAACCTAAATCAGAACTTTACATTCGTCTATGATAGATCCTTATCTTTCTTCCAGCCCATGAATATCATTATGGCGTTGATCTTGTTTTCTTTTATATTACACATCTCTCCATGTTTTGCAAAATTGATGAGATTGCTTTCTGAGTCTTAATTCAAGGCACCAATAAAAACTTTGCATTGGAGAAAGCAAAGAAAATTTTTCATGCCTCCACACCAGAGGCCCAATCTATATCATTTTGTTGGTCTGCAGGAAGCATCTAAATGTTTAGACACTAGAGAGTTGTCACTGTGATGATAGCACATGTACTATGTTTGAGCATCAATTGTTTTGAGGGAAGAAAAATAATTTATTAATACTTTCCTTCTTACTTTGAATATGGAACGTACCTGGTAATCGTAATTTGAATGCAAAGCCACATGGACAGAAACTTTATCCAGAGTTTCACTGTAAGGGAGATGGATGGGAGGTTCCTGTTGTTAGGTGATTTGGACAGTCATCAATATGGTAGAAAGCCTGTTTATATTGAAATGTAAACCCTTAAGTGAGCAGACTGAATTAGACTAGATGAAAGTGGTAAATGAGGAACTTACCAATTCAACTTTTTGAATGCATGCCATTTTTTAATAACACTTAAATGTGTTCCTGGGTGGTGCAAACCATTACCACATTTGGCTGCTAATTAGAAGGTTGTACGATCAAGTCCACCCAGAGATTCCTGGAAAGAAAAGCCTGACAGTCTACTTATGGCAAATCAGCCACTGAAAGCCCTTTGGAGCACAGTTCTACTCTGACACTCATGAGATCACCAGCAGCCAGAGTTAACTCAACGGCAACCCAATTTCTCTCTCTTTCAGATATGCTGTATTTCTGTCACCACATGCAGAGGAAAATTAAATGTCCAGCTTCAGAGATTACCAAACAAATAAGAAAAGAAAGTCTATTCTAGATATAAGATCCATATATAAGAATTTAAGTCTATACTCCCTCATGCACAGTTTTTACAAATTAAATGTTTTTACTTTTCCATGAAAGCTATATCTCTTTTTTACGTGAGTAAATCACATCATTAAAATTTTGGAATGAGGGCCAAGCTAATTAATACTCAGTTTAACTTGAGATCTTTGTTCTGTTCCAAACACAGTTGTACCAATTAATCCATCTTCCAGTTCACAGGCCTGGCCAGTGCTATTCATTGAATCTTTTTTGTTAGATACACAATACAGAATGGGTAGAAAATTCCTTCTTCCCCATTTCCCAAACATAAGGTGTGGAGCCTTTTGTATATTTGATCCTTTGGCTTATTATCATCTTTAGAGCATTATTCTCATAGTTGCAGGGTTCTCTCTTCTTACAGCAGAATTAGCAATGACCTTGGAAACATTTCCTCCTGAACAAATATGTGACTGTCAGCACGTGGAGTTCAATCAGAGGTCACATCAGTGTTCAGTGCATTGAAAGGGGAAGTAACATGATGAGATAATTTGACCCAGTGGTGTCAACAAAAGGCCCAGCTATTCAAGCACATGACAGCCACCATCTCTCCAAATATGGGATGGTTGATGATTTTCATAGTACATGTCACAGAGGGGTATCGATTCCTCAGCAAAGTGTTTGCAACTTACCAACTGACTAGGGATTTATTACTAGGAGGATAAGTTCCAAGGAAGTGGAATTTGACAGCCTTACCTCCCTCTGATCTTCCATATAGAACTTTGTTCCTCAATTCCAAGCAGAACCTAAAAGTTCCCACCAAAGGTATTCTGTGATTATTTTCAAAACATGGTAGCCATGAATTATGAAGATTTATAAATGAGGAGAAGTTAGTTCTATAGGCCTTGTCCACCTTAGGTAAATGTTAGGGCTAATGGCCAGATGGAGGAGGGAAGCAGAAGAAATTTACGTAACTAACAGAAGAACAACATTGTGAGTGGTATGGATTCCAGGATGGGTAATGTGCAGGACCTTCAGCTGAATAAAGCTTGTGAGGATCCTAGTTGCAAATTCTTACTGTTTTCAGCCACTTTTTGATACTTCTCTTAGAAGGTCATAATGCTAACCTGTCATTTGGGGGTGATCCATGTTTCATTTCAGGATTTACAGGACCCCGAGGATCCAAAGGTGCAAAAGGACTCCCTGGGCCCGATGGACAGCCAGGTCCCATAGGCCTACCAGGGCCAATAGGACCACCAGGTGAAAGGGGACTTCCTGGAGAAGTCCTGGGAGCCCAGCCTGGACTCCAAGGGGATGCTGGACTACCTGGACACCCAGGGCTGAAGGGCCAACCTGGAGACAGGGGCTCTCCTGGATTCAGAGGTAAGCTGCCATTTCAAGAGGTAAAGCACAATGTGGAACAAAACTCAAAATCATTAAAAAAAAAAAAAAAAGGGGGACTAGGTTTGCTGGTCTGATAGAGCCTGGTGGAACCCCTGAAACTATGGCCTATAGCTGCCCTTCAAGTCTGGAATTGAACCCACTCCTTTGGCTTCCAGCTAAAGAACAGACAGGCATATGAGCTGAACATTTATATTAGGTAGATACACTCCTTGGAGAGATCAATCATGGGAGAATAGAAAGGCTGTGTATGCACAGGGACAGCTGGGGTGGAGGAGCAGGAGTGCATGGGAGAGAAGGATACAGGGTAACTATGGGGAGAAAGTGGGAAGGGAACTATTGCATTGTGGGAGATTTCAGTCAATGTCATGAAACAAAATGTATGTGAACTACTGTATGGAAAATGAATTT